ACTCTGGTGCCAATAACAGATAATCTCCCTCAGCAGTTACATGGAGATATTAAAGAGAACTAACGCAATGAGAGAGCCCCTGAGTCACTGTCCAGAGGAATGGCCTTCAGACACAAGTCTCCTCTCCCTGCAACTAAACTTCCTTTTAAGAAGGAGAAGGAACACTGCAGAATGGCAGCCCACCTCTCCAATCTCGTGGACATAGGTTTTATGCAGAGGTGGTATTCAGCAGGTTTTGACCAGTTCTGGAGAACCAGTAGCGGAAATTTTGAGTAGTTCGGAGAACCGGTAAATACCACCTCTGACTGGCCCCACCCCCAACTATTCTCTGCCTCCCAAGTCCCAATTGATCAGGAGGGAATGAAGATTTTACAGTATCCTTTCCCTGCCACGCCCACCAAGCCACACCCACCAAGCCATGCCATGCCTACCAAGCCATGCCCACAGAACCGGTAGTAAAAAAATTGAATCCCACCACTTGTTTTATGTACTAAAATTAAATACATTTAAGGGAAAGGAGAGTTTGTCACACATATGACCACCTCCTGTTTGGACTTCTGAAATATGGAGCAATTCCCTGCAATTTCTGGAAGAATATAGATCCAGGAAATAGCTTTATAAGAATAAGCATCTGATTATTACCACAACAACAGCCTACAAAGATAAATGAATCTGGGGGTGGGGGGGTACAAGGGTCTTAATGCAGCCCTGGATCTTCAACCTTTATGGTCCTGCCCCAGACCACTCCTCAAAATGTAGCAGCTGACTGGGTAGCTTACATGCCTGTAACCAGGTTAGTGTATTTCCTTTGACTTTCTTTATTCAGCTCCATGGAGAGCAAACTGTTAAGATCCTCCCCCAGGGCTGTCAGGCTCCCTTGTTGCTCAGGGAGCATCACAAAAAAAAGCCCATTTGTTTACCCTTCTCTTCTTTCTCTGCCTGAGACGGCAGAGTGGAGGTGCGTTTGACTGTGCATTTCAGCAATTTTGTTCCATCCTCAGCAAGAACGATCTGCCTGAGAGCTTTGGAAGCGAAGCAAACCTACCTTATTGAACATAATCGCTCCCCAGACGAAAGGGGGTAGCTTGAGAGCTCAGGGTGGCAAGAGGTCAGCCCTTGTGTTCGGATGCTCAAATTAGCAGCTGAACCGGCAATGAATATTTGCCCACTTGTGCTGGAGCTTCCCTTGCCAGCACATGGCCCAGTGGTGGTGTGAGCAAAGCAAAAGAAGCAGCAGCCGGGCAGTGTGTGTGTGTGTGTTTCTGTGTGTGTGTTTGTGTGTGTGTAATGTGTGTCTCTTGAACCGCCTCGCTTTGGAACTTGCAGCAGGAAACAGGGAAGGTATCAACATGGAGCAGATGTGCCAGGAGCAATCAATGCTCTGTCTCATGATTACAATGGGATCTCCCTGGGGCCGTGCATTGCCATTCAGGCACCAACAGGCAACCACACACAGAAGTAAAAGATGGGCAACTATGTTTAGTGATCATAATGCATCACGTTATTTTTACCAGACTTGCTGTGTGCGTAGAGGAAAGGAACACTCATTGATGCTAATCGGGCCCAACCAGCACAGCTAAATAAGAAAAGGGGGTGAGTGGAATTCTTTTTTTTTAAGCTCTCAGAGCTAAAACGAAAGTTTGTTTTTTAAAGTTCTGGAAGGCAACCATTCTTTCCCTAGAACTTTTTGGCTGAGCACAGAACAAGGTGAAACCTTTTCCAATGTTGACTAAATGAGCCATTATTATATTTCTTACTGAAAATGGCATACGTTTCCCCCACCCACCCACCCTTTTCAAAAATTCATTTATCAATAACTAGGTATAGCCAGTTACTCACCAGTATTGATCACAATATCTATAAGAGTTGCAAAGTACCTTTGCTCAAGGTCACCGTAAGGTGAAATTATGATCAATATGAATTGACTGCCTGCAAATAAATTTAAATAGCTGACATAATTGCCAGAGGTGCCCATTTGAAATTAAGGTGGACCGCTTCAAAGAGAGGGGAGAAGGTTTATGCAGTTTAGATCAGCCTGCTGGAACAGCCTTGCACAGACATCTGCCATATTTAAAAGGTACCATAAAATCATATTTGCTGCAGTGTCAAATAATTGAATGAATAACCATATATTTTCTCCCCCCCCCCAAAAAAATAGTAATTCAGATAAATAGCACCGTCATTGAAGTTTTTTCTTGAGAATCTGAGTACAAATGCAGCAAAGTCTTCATGGTGTAGGCTGAAAGTGTTGCACTAGAAGGAGAAAAGACCTGGGTTCAAATTCATCCTTAATCATGGAAACTGGCTGGGTCACTTTGGCCCATCAGCCAGCCAGTTTTTCATAACCTAATCCACCTTCCAGATTATTGTAGGGACAACAAAATTGGAGAACAAAATGTTATGTATGGTGGTGCCTTTTGCTCCTGGGTGGGAAAGGTGGAATATAAATATAACAAGTTAAAACAAAATAAAAGCAACACAAAGCAAACTGTATTTACCAGGCTGTTTTACAATAACTAAATCTAGCAGGAAAGCTATAATTGTAAACATTTTCCCCCTTTTGTTTTTCTTCTCCTTATTTCTCAATGGCAGAGATGCATGGAATCTGTCTGCTGTGTTTGTAGATTTCTCATTGTTCTGATTCAATCATTGCCATGATTTGATTGATTCATTATGTGCCATCAAGTCAATGTCAACTCTTAGCGAGAACACAGACAGAATTTCTCCAGGAGGACCTGCTCCCAATCTGTTCCTTCAACTCTTCCAATGATGCACCCATTAACACTGAAACTGGGTCTGTCCGCCTTGAAGCTGGTTGTCCTCTTCTTCTCTTTGCCAGCATTAGAGCCGTCTTCAGAGAGTTGGATCTTTGCATAATGTGTCCAAAGTAGGATAATTGGCAGCTGGTCATTTGGGCCTTGAGTAAAAACCTTGGGTTGATTTGTTTAAGAATCTATAAGTTTATTTTTTTGGCTTTCCATGGTATTCTCAGGAGTCTTTTCTAACACCAAAGTTCAAAAGTATCAATATTAAACCAAAGTCCAAGAAATTGCCATGACAAGCTGTTGTTGCTTTTTAACCTCCTAGATTGAGCCATATTGCAAGGGTAACCAATGTTGCCCTAGCACAGTGATTGCTAACCTTTTTGCCGCTGTGTGCCAAAAGCGGGGGTAGTGGGGGGGGGATTGTGCACGCGTGTGTCCATAATTCAATGTGCCCCGTCCCCCCACACATGAGCGGGTGACCCCCCCCCCCCCCCCCCCCCCCGTTTTGGCAGTGATGGCATGGTGGGCCCGGTAGGCTCATTTTTTTGCCCTCTCCAGGATCCAGAGCCTTTCTAGGAGCCTGTGGAGGGCGAAAACAGCCTTCCCCACTCTCCCGGAGGCCCTCCGGAAGCCCAGAAACAGCCTGTTTCCCGACTTCCAGTGGGCCAGGAAGGCCCGAAAATCAGCTGGCCAGCACACACATGCGTGCTGGACTGAGGTAGGGCAACGTTTGCGTGCCCACAGATATGGCTCCATGTGCCACCTGTGGTACCTGTGCCATAGGTTCGCCATCACGGCCGTAGAATTTCATGCTGCAGAACTAATAAAGCTAAGTGGAACTGGGATTGAATTGGAGAACAGTGTCTGAGTTGGATAGGCACAGTTACAATTTTTTTTTTTAGTAACCAGCTTTAGCTACATGGAAAAAGAAAAAATATATAATTAGTGGCACTGTCTTTTTTTTAATAAACAAACTTCTACACTTTTATAATCTTCAGATTTGTCCCTTGTGCATCTCCCTGGCCTGTCTCAATCTATCCATGCAAAACTATATTTTTTACAAAAACAATGCAAACACTATCAGTAGGTCCAGACCTGTCCAATCAGTAAATGATTTCTATAATAAGGGGCTTGCAGGTATGAAGTGATATTATCTGCTTGAACCATTCACTTGAAAAAAAGTTCCACGTCTTGGACTATCAGAGGTACTGGTGGAATGGATGAGTGGTTTGGGGGGTTTAAATTATGACATTTTAATGTTGTAACCCAGGGGTCCCCAACCCTCCTGGTCTGTGGACTGGTACTGGATCTCAGCATACCAGAAACCAAGCCGCACAAAAAAGTGAAATCCCATCCGTGGGATGCAGACAGCATGCAAAACCACACCCTCTCTGGTCCGTGGAAAAACCTCTCTCCATGGAACCAGTCCCTGGTGCCCAAAAGGTTGGAGACCACTGTTGTAAGCTGCCTGGAGTCATCATGTATCAGGTTGTATAAATTTATTTAGTTAATAAATAAATAAGATGTCCCCCAACACAATATATAGTAGGCATGAGGCCCAATTCTTTCAAGAAGCACTGAGCAAATTGATTTGGACCAGGGGTGGTATTCACTTACCTTCGCTATCGGTTCGCAAATGTGAACGCACGTGCCACCTCCGTGCATGTGCAGGGACTTCCGCACATGCGCAGATCATCAAAAACGGGATGTGATGATGTCTGGGTGGGTGGGCGGAGCCTCTCGCAGCCACCGCTACTGGTTCGCCTGAGCCAGAAAGAAACAGCTGAATATCACCACTGATTTGGACATAGCATATAAAAGGCGACCTGCAGATGTTAAGAAAAGTTTTCTTGATTTTGCTTAACACAGTTCTACTACAATACTATATTTATACCAATGTCCTGAAACTCAGTCTGATTAGATCCCAATTCTTTTGCTTCTATAGTATGCATTGAATCCACACCATAATTTTGAAAAAAAAAAGTTTAGTACAGATTAGTGATAAGGATAAATTGCACACATTTATACATTTTGGGATCATTTTGATTTTCCTCTAGAAATTGACCTGAAGCTCAGGACAAGAACCTTATAGGATTAACTTGAAGGAATCCATTTAAATAATCAAAATAAGAGCTTTAGATATACCAAGATGTCTGAAATTCTCTCACAAAGATCTTTTGAAATCTGGGCTGTTAACTCTTCCCACCTCTCAGGAGACTTTTCCACCTCTTTCAGGGCCACCACCCATTCTGGAGCCTCATGCTATGGCATGGATTTGAGGAACACAACATTGGGAACAATCCCAAAGGTGCTTTTTCAAGAGGCAACTGGACTTTCTGGGTTTTTGTTGAAGACATTTTGCTTCTTATCTAAGAAGCTTCTTCAGAGCTTCACCTTTAGGACAACCATGACCTGGATGACTGAGAATCTCCATAGACGTTGGAAATGATGTCTCTCAAACACAAGGAATTCATCCTAAAAGAGATCATCAGGTGAACAGAAAATTAGCAAGAAGAAAATTAGCAAGATAAATAAATCTGATAGTTACAGATAGAAGTTCTATATCTGAAGGTCTGCCCCTTCTAGGTCTGGTATAAAAGTAAGAATAATGATATGGGATGGCATTGAATTTTCCACCAACTCTTAATAGCAGACTTTACCGGTTCTTTGGTCTCCTAAAAACAATCACCCCCAATAAGGTGATATTTATTGTATTGCCACATACAATACCAGGGATTACTAGGTACATTTTATTTTCTGCCAATGAATTAGCAGATGAAACATTTTATGAATATCTGTTCTTTTTTTAGTATCTTTTTTTGACAATGCTTCTCTCTGGATCAAATAGAATACAATTCAATTTCAGAAAATGGAGTAGTTCTGAAAAAGTCACAAACTTTGCAAATTCACAGAGAAATCAGTTTCCAAAGTTATCAATGTGCTGCAACCCTGTGCTTAGACCGATGGTACAGACTAGTCAGACATAAATGGTTTCCATTGGAGCCATCAAATATGTGTGGTAAAAACCTAATTGACCCTTAGCTGGCAGGACAGAGATACAGAAAACTCTTAAATTGTCTATTCTCTCCCGTCCCTGATGACATATTTAGGTGGATAAGAGAGTCTGGTGTAGTAGTTAAGGTGTTAGCCTACAAACCAGGAGACAGTGAGTTCTAGTCCCACCTTAGCAATGAAAGCCAGCTCGGTGACTTTGGGCCAGTCACTCTCTCTTAGCCCAACTCATTTCACAGGATTGTTGTGGGGTAAATAAGAAAAGGAAAGAGTATTAAGTATGTTCACTTCTTTATAAAGGAGGGATAAAAAATTTAATACATAAATAAAGCAGATAAATTAGTATGCAGATTATCATTCTGGCTTTCTAATGAGCAAGGCCGGTCTTACAGTGAGGCAAAGTGAGGCAAGAACACTTGTGAGGCAGATGTAAAGTAACAGCAATGCCATTCAAGGGTATTTCTCTTAAACATCCCCCACTGTTGCTATCTCTGGCAGTGGAAAACTATGTATGACACACTGATTGTCTAAATTAGCTCACTGCCTCACTTCTGAATGTGGAAGAAAGAAGGAGCATAGACAGAAAATGAGGGGGCTCTGCCCATCTAGTCTGGTTATTCCTCATTTAATAAATTTAAACAGCCCTCTCAAAGCCTTGTATAAAAATATCCGCAGTGATAAAATAAAGCAGAGCTAGTTGTAGAAAGTATACACCTTTATAACAACTTGCATGGCTCAACCAACAGTCGTTAAGTGGATGAAGAAGCAAAACAAAGACACGGCTTACTCTCTACTAACCTGACATTTAGGTATCTGAGTTAAAAGGGATTATGGTAGCAAGCAGGGCAAAAATTCAAATTCAATAGCACACACAGAAGAACTATTGCCGTCTTAAAAAGGCATGTTCCAAAGCAGAAAAGATATGCAATTCATATCTTAATCACTTTCATAGAGGCCTAGTTGAATTATCATATGCAGAGAAGTTAGGTAGGCTGAATGTAGTATTCTACCAAGATCTAACATGAGCTGACCATTCCCTTGGGTTTATTATTATTTTTCCATCCTCCCATAAAGCAAAAAGTTTTATTATCCTAAGTGATGTTGGGGGAAGAAGAGTGGAGCGGAGGAGAAATACCCCTACTATTCTGACAGCCTCGCTTTCATCTTTTTACCCAGGTATTCAGCTTGCGTGGAACAGGACAAATGCATATAAAAACAAGGCTTGGGATTTGCTCCCGAGAAATCTTCAGAGCAAACGAGCGAGCCTCCACCTTAAATGCATTTCATTAGACAGCAGCACAGAAGCTAAGGTGGTCAATGCAATTAAATTCAAAACCTGAATGTATTGAACTTTTCTGCAATTATACATGGGTCATCTCTGGACAATATGTTGGCCATCTGCTAGCATCTGTGCTATTCCCTCTAATAGAGTTCCTGCTGTGGCTCCAGGCCATGAGAGGCAGCACGAAGCGGGTCACATATTGTGTCTTTCAGCCATATTTAGGTCACAGAGTGTTTAGCTCCCCCCCTCTTTTTTTTTCCTTCTCTTTTTTTTGGGGGGGGGGGAAAGTGGGGCAGGCAAGACCATTCTAGTTTTTCACAAAGGCAAATAAAAGGCAGAACACTTTCAACTCAGGTATTTAAGATCCCCGTGAGGTAAACAGTTCCCTTTGCTTTCCAATGAGCTTCTTTGAGACTCAAGAGGGTGAATTGCTCGGGTTTTTTTTTTAAATGAACCCTGCAAAAATGTTAAGAGCCACAAATGCTGAATTCTCATCAACATCTCTTGTGTTGGGCAAAAGGAAAGAGCTTCTTCCAGCTAATATGTCCTGACTGAGACCTTAAGTGACTTGATGGGGGTGGGGTGGGGAAGAGAGGATGTCATACCCTTTTGATGCTTTTACTCAAAAAAGCATCAAATTTGTGTTTACGCACAAAGTGTTGAAGAGAAAAAGTCACATGCACTCAAATTTAAAAGTTTTTATTATATTTCAGGCAGAGGTAAAATTCCTTTTTTAAAAAAACTGGGCTGAAATCACCTGATCTTGGAAGATTATGCTTCTAGCAAAGAAGAATTGTGTTTATTCACATTTCCAAACATAGAAAATTGAACTCTTATTATCCTTCAAAATGAAGGATAGTAATTCTACAAATTTTGTAAGCAACTGGTGTGTTTGTGTGTGTGTGTGTGTGTGTGTGTGTGTGTGTGTGTGTGTGTGTATGCAAATGCACGCACACACAGAGACAGGCAGTCTTTGACTTATAGCCATAATTTAACCAGGAATTACAGTTGTAAGTCATGCCAGTTATTAGGCAGAGCATCACGTGATCAACCTGATTTTATGACATTTTTTTGCAGTGGTCATTAAATGAATGCGACAATCATTAAGTAAAGCCATTGTTTGCAGTGAATATTTTTTGTCAGAAACCAGAAATAAACACTGGTTTCCAGCAAAAAAAAACCCATAATAAATCGCAGTAACATCACCATAGGATGCTGCAAATGGCTGTAAGTGCAAACTAGTTGCTAAGTACCCAAAACACAATCACATGAGTGTGGAGGGGGGAGACAGTCAGCAAATGTTTGAATACGGGTCATAAATTCCTGTTTTTTTGGGGGGGGTCATTGTTACTTTGGTCACTAAGTGACCGGTTGCCAAGCAAGGACTACATAAAAAGGATAAATCTGCATATATATGCTCTGCAGGCAAAGTGCCATGTCAAGACAATACCCTGCATGGCATCTACCATCAAAAAATAGCTGATTATTGGAAGACATTGGGATATCCTATTGGTGGCTGAAAAGGACTGGATTAAAAGTAAGGTGACCAACTTTTTTACAATGAGAAAGAGGACATGTGCGTGTGTGCCTTGTCATGTTTTGGTAAGAAGTAAACTTGCATGCAGTGCACTCTTGCGCGCGGCGCACCTCTCAAAACAATTCTCCTGTGTGGAGCGCATGTGCCTCATAATCGCGTCTCACTGCACTGTACCGAGCCCTGATGAATTGTCATGTCAAATACAAATACGTCACATCACATGCAACGGATCGGATCGGCATCGATCGAATACGGAGATTTACAGATTAGTCTTCAAATATCAAAAAGGAGGACATGTAGAAGGACATTTTTTGAGAGAGGACAGAACTTACGAAAGAAGGACTGTCCTCCCTAAAGGATGACTATTGGTCACCTTATTAAAAGGCAGTACTGAGACACAGATCATAGCAGCACAAGGACAGGCCCTAAGCACCACAGCCATAGAAGCATGAATCTCCACACCAGACAGGGCCCAAGGTGCAGACTTTGCAGGGAGGCCTCAGAGACAGCCCAAACAGTGTAATATGCAGGCAGGAACAGCATATACTGAACACCACAACCATGTGCTGCTATTGTGTATAGGAACATCTGCACAGCGGATGGTCTAGACCAGGGGTGTCAAACTGGATTTCTTCGAGGGCCAGATCAGTATTGTAGTTCTGCTCCGTGGGCCGGCAGATGTGACGGACACCTCCTGCAGCACCCTGCTGGCCAAAATTGGGCACGGGGGCCATGCATGACTCCCCATGGCCCGTTTTTCCTGACAGGGTGCTGCAAGAGGCCATCGAGGCTGAAAACAGGCCTCGGGGGGGCTGTGCGTGGCCCCCCGTGCCCCGTTTTCACTAGCAGAGGCACCATGGGCCAGTCCTTTGCTATTTCCAGGCCAGGCCCATAGGCCAGATTTAAGTAGCCCGTGGGACAGATTTGGCCTGCAGGCCTTGAGTTTGACACCCCTGGTCTAGACCTTCCCAAGTCCAGTTGGGAAATTCCACAGAAAGTCATGAAGAATAATAAAGCTAAGATCCTGTGGGACTTTCAGATCCAGACAGACAGGTAGTTAGCAACCAATCAAGCAGACATTGTAGTAGTATACAAGGACTAGAAGACAGTGGTGCCAAGTGACAGCAACAACAGGAAGAAGGGGTATGAGAAGCTGTAGAAGTGCCAGGGCCTAAAATACGAATTAGAAAGAATGTGGAAAGTAAAGGCCAAAGTGGTCTTGGTGGTGATAGGACCACTTAGGGCTGTGAATCCTAAACCAGGAGAGTGACTTCCACAGATCCCAGGAACAGCATCAGAGCTTTCTGTCCAGAAAAGTCCAGTGCTAGGAACAGCTAAGATCCTGTGCAGAACCCTCAGATTGCCAGACCTCTGGTAGAGGACATGGGATTAAGGAAGACACAGACCAGGGGTGAAATGTAAAATCTGTTACTACAGGTTCTGTGGGCATGGCTTGGGGGGTGGTGGTAATGTGACTGGGTGGGCGTGGCCAACTTTTTTTAAAAAAAACTTTTCAAAGCATTTTTTCTAATGCTTTGAAAAACCTCTCTGCCAATCAGGAACTCAGCTGGGATCATCAGAGAGGCTTTTTAAAAAATGCCTCTCTGCCAATCAGGGAACTCAGCTGGGAACGTCAGAGAAATGCCTCTCTGCTGATCAGGGAACTC